GCCAAACATACTCACTGGAAGAAAGATAGCCTCTTTAACAAATGGTGCTGGAAAAACTGGCTCTCTACATGCCAAAAACTAAAACTTGACCCAGGTCTACCACCATGCACTAAGCTAAAGTCAAAATGGATTAAAGATCTAAACATTAAAACAGAAACACTAAATCTCCTGAAAGGGAAAGTAAGAGGAACTCTTGAAGACAAGGGTTAAACAAATAGTTCATGAACAAAAATCAAATCGCACAGGTAATACTTGAAAGAATTAACAACTGAGACCTCCTCTTTTTGAGAAGTTTTTGCATGTCAAAAGAAATGATCACAAATTTTGAAAAAATCTTAATAAGCACTCAGACAAAGGTCTGCTCCTAGAATTTATAAAGAACTAAAAAAAATTCGGACCCCAAAATTTAAAGACCCAATCCAGAAATGATTATCTGAGATGAATACTCACTTCTCAGAGAACGAAATTAAAGAAGAGAATAAATATATGAAAAAATGCTCCACATCACTAGTCATCTGTGAAATGCAAGTTAAAACATTGAGATACCATCTCACCACAGAAAGAATGACTGTCATAAACAAATCAACTAACAACAAATGTTGAAGAGGCTGTGGGGAAAAAGGAAACTTTCTCCACTGCTGGCGGGAATGTAAACTGGTGCAACCATCATAGAAATCAGTGTGGAGACTCCTTAAAAGACTAGGACTGGAAATCCTATTCAAGCCAGCTATCTCCCTACTGGGAATTTTCCCAGAGGAACTGAAAACGTCACATCATAGTGATATATGTGTACCTATGTTTATAGCAGCACAATTTCTGACAGTCAAATCTTGGAAACAGACAAGATGCCCGTCACCTGAGGAATGGATGAAAAGAATGTGATATTTTTATACAATGCAGAATTACTCATCTATAAAGAATGATAAACTTGAAGCATTTATATTTAATTGGAAGCCACTTGAAGATACACTCATAAGTAAAACAAACCATACCCACATGTATAAATATCATATAGTCTCCCTAGTATAAGAACTCAAAAGAAGAAATATAAATAGAAAGGTATAACACAATTAAAAGGAAAGCAAGAACTTGAGTATTAGACAATGAAGAGAGGGCAAGGAGAAAAGCTAGAAAACATGACAGGGGAAAGCCATAGATTTATATGCACAAGATGGGTAAGGCAATGATCCTCAGAAACATCAGCAGGTTTTTGAAACTAGCAGTTAATTGGTAGGATTCTCAACTGACTAACTATATATGCCGATACCTGTGTACTAAGCAACTGCACTGAAAATAGCAATGTGTAATAGTAGGGTCATACTTGGAGTGCCTGTAATTCTGGGCTTCTAAATATGTACTGCTTGTTATGATATACCAATTATTGCCATACTGTCTCTCAAGTAAATGTTTGTTTTTAGAAAAAGGGTAAAAAATGAAAAATCAAAACAAGAAAAAAAATGTCACAGGACTGTCCTGCTACAATGCTGTATATGGTTAGATTTCTAAATTTCTGTGTAAAAATATATAATCGTTTATTCTTATTTTTTAAATTTTTTTTCTTCATATTCTATAGGGACTTAAAGTTTAACGTATCAATACTTGATGGAAAATACCTATTCCAAATTATGCCTAAGATATTCAGAGAGATAGGTTAAACCCAACTGCATATGTTGTAGGGTAATAATAAGCTTCTCTTCTGGAGGGTTAACAACCTAAGTTTGCAGACCAAAAATTAGAGAAAAAGAAGAACTACAAAGATAGCCAACATTTTGGTCCTAGCCTTTCAAGGTCAGTGAAGACTCAGGACATAAGAGAACCTATACTGTAACATCATGTAACTCAGTTGTGTCCCAGATTTTCTGATCAAGGAGATTATGAGGCCACAGAAGAATGTGATCAATGATGTAGAGTTTGCCTAAGGAGAGTCACATGGGAGAAAACACTCTCTCAGGCTGTCACAGAGAGGAAGTTGGTCAAG